AAGCGTGACTCAGACTCATGTGAGACGATTTATTTGGAGCAATATTATCTGCCGTTTCGGCGTTCCAAGGTCAATAGTCATAGATAATGGCACGAACCTCGACAGCAAGCAAGTAAGAGAGCTGCTGGAGGAGTATGGAATTAATCAGAAGTTGGCTGCAGTAAGTCATCCTCAGGCCAATGGACAAGCAGAAATCACAAACAGAACAATTTTCGCCTGCATTAAGAAGAAGCTGGAGGACCATAAAGGGAAGTGGTTGGATGAGCTCCCGAACGTCCTATGGGCTTACAGGACCACCCCAAGGCGGCCGACTGGGGAGAGCCCGTTTGCAATGGCATATGGTACCGAGGCGGTTATACCGGTTGAGTACTTGGTCCCAACTATCAGAAGCTTAGCATGGAGTCGAGATCAGAACGACAGAATGTTAAGATTGAACCTCGATATGATAGACGAAAAGAGGGACGCGGCAGCAATAAGGTTAGCATCATACCAGTAAGTATTGGCGAATAGTCACAATAAAAGAGTAAAACACAGAGATTTTGCCCCTGGCGATCTGGTTCTGAAAAGAAAGGTGGGGATAGTCAAAAAAATGATGCCACCATGGGAAGGCCCATACAGAATTGCAGAAGTCATAGGGAAGGGAGCATATACGTTAGAGACCATGGCGGGAAGGTTGGTCAGCAAGCCCTGGAATGCCACGTCTCTGAAGAGGTACTACCAATAAAAGCTAAGTTTCGGCTTTATTGGGTGTTATTTGTTGTCAATCAAGTACGTATGAATGTGCAAATTCCTGAAATTTATAAAAGTAACTTTCTTTTTCAATGGGTTTTTAAAAAATAAAAATAAAAAATAAAAAGCCAAGTGGCAAGTGCCATTCTAGCCGAGCGCCAGGCACTTAAGCAAGATAAGTGGCAGCTGGCACTATAAGCCGAACGCCAGGCACTTGCTAAAAAATAAAAAGCCAAGTGGCAACTGGCATTCTAGCAGCGCCAGGCACTTAAGCAAGATAAGTGGCAGCTGGCACCACAAGCCGAACGCCAGGCACTTGCTAAAAAATAAAAAGCCAAGTGGCAAGTGGCATTCTAGCCGAGCGCCAGGCACTTAAGCAAGATAAGTGGCAGCTGGCACTATAAGCCGAACGCCAGGCACTTGCTAAAAAATAAAAAGCCAAGTGGCAAGTGGCATTCTAGCCGAGCGCCAGGCACTTAAGTAAGATAAGTGGCAGCTGGCACTATAAGCCGAACGCCAGGCACTTGCTATAAAATAAAAAGCCAAGTGGCAAGTGGCATTCTAGCCGAGCGCCAGGCACTTAAGCAAGATAAGTGGCAGCTGGCACCACAAGCCGAACGCCAGGCACTTGCTAAAAAATAAAGAGCCAAGTGGCAAGTGGCATTCTAGCCGAGCGCCAGGCACTTAAGCAAGATAAGTGGCAGCTGGCACCATAAGCCGAACGCCAGGCACTTGCTATAAACACGCACACGACAAAGTTAATATAAAAAAAAAAGTATATATATATTGAAAATGGGTTTAAACAGAGCGTAACACAAAGAAAAAAGAGAAAAAAGAGTTCTGTCATCTCATTCATGATAAGCATTGGAGTTACAAAAAATGAAGTACTCAAGTCACATTGTTACAAAAAAGTATGGAATCGAAGAGTCTGGAGGAGTCCTAGCTAGCTGCCCCAGTACCGACAGCCTCCTGGTTGTGCCGATCCGCCTCCTCGGTCCCGTCAGCCATCTCATCCTCACGAGGTGGGGAATCAAGATGAATAACAGAGTCATTCTGCTGGGGGCTAACGTCAGCAGTGACTATAGGAGATACCACAGTTAACGAATGAGGAACGGTAGGAGGAGCTGTAGTGATCCTAGAGGAAGCAATATCCTGACATTCATCAAATATGTGCTCCGCTTCGGTGGGTTCTGGGTCAACATAGACCCCTAGAGGATCAATCCCTAAATCCTTATCAACCTCATCTGGAGTTGAGCTGGTCTGTCCCTCAGCCGGAACTCGATCAGAGAAACCTTCTCGGAATCCCTGAGCATATCTAAGAGCTCCGACTCTTGAGAACCGAGCATGAAGAGCCAGCATTCCACCGTTCACTCTGCTGATGGTATCAATCAGAGCATTGCGCTCGTCCAGAGCTCTTTTCTCAAAAGCCATCCGAGCAGACTGTTCATCTGCCAGAAGGCGCTGGAGCTCTGCCTTTTCGTCTCTGATTGAATCACGTTCAGTCTGCCAGACACTCTTCTCAAGCTGGAGGGCATCCTTCTCATCCTGAAGAGAGTCGTTTTCCTTCTTCAAGACATCTCTTTCTTGTTCGGTTTTCCTTATTGGCCACCTCCAGGCTGTCGGAGAACTTACGGGCCCTGGCGTTCCCTATTTCCACCTGCTTCTGCATGGCCATCATACCGAATAAAGTCTGCATAGATATACATTAATAATGGTTAAACCGATAGTCTGGTCGGACGAAGGCAAGACCAAATAGTATGAGAGGATTCATGAGTTAGAAAATAAAAGTCACCTCCATGGCATATTGGGGAAAGCGGCTGAACACATCCTTTTGGGATAGACCTTTCGCGACCTCAAGGTCTTTCGGAGTCCACATGCTCCTATAATACGCCATGGCGGTCTGGCCATCCTTTAACATGGTCTCGTTCGGCTTCATGAACGTCCCATCCGTTTGGGTGTACCGAGGAGCCCATGGTGGTAAAACGGGAAGAGAAGGAGAAGCTGAAGCAGAAGTAGAGGCACCAGCTGCAACAGGCCCGGAGGGGGCAGGAGCTCTGACTGGGTGATGCAAGAGAGCACTCGGCCCAGAGACTCGGGTCCTTCTTATAAGAGGTTCCTCCTCAGGGTCGACTCCACCGTCAGGATGAGGCCTTTTGCCTCGTTCTTTGTCCCGAGCGCCCCCAGCGGTAGCAGGGGCAGTAGTGACTTGTGGAGATGCGCTCGGGTTGGTAGCAGGGGTGCTGACAACAGGATTAATAGCCACCGTACTCGGGATGGTGTCAGAGATGGTGGCTGAGGAAGAGGCTGATGCAGGAGAGGAGGTTGCTCCAGCAGCAGAAGTGGCTGGAGGAGTATTTTTCCTCCTACCAAAGGATGGAATCTGAAGCCTGCTCATGGTATAGCCGAGGGATGAGAGCGCTAGAAGGTTGTCTGAAGTGAGGAGGTCTGAGCAAGAAAGAATATCGTTCAGAACGTATTTCTTCAAGTAATTACTCCTATCCCTGCAAACACTGTAGCTCAAGTCATCACAAGGTATGCCTAAGAAGTGACATAAGAAAGTACAAAAGCGAGGAACGCATGTTTCGCAGGGACAATCGTTTTTATGAGATTTGAATTTCTTATATGAGGAAACAGAACAGACGCCAAAGGCGCTCGGGATTGGGTAATCCTCTGCAGCCGGCGAAGACCAGGCCCCACTGATGCCCACAATGTTATCCCTCCAACCCTTTTCAGATTTGATTGTATCTGTGCATATGGACATCTTGTCGATCGGGTAGAGGTGGTAGAATGGCTCGTTAGTTCGGATCTTACTGACCTTATAACACAGAAGAAGATCTATGAGGTCAAGGTCCAGACTTCTGTCACGAATCAACAGTAGCATAACGGATATGATTCTAAAGAAATTGGGGTTTACCTGCAGGGGGGATATCCCCAGTCTATTAAAGACATAATTAAAGAAGGGGTGCAGAGGGAACCTAACGACATTCAGTTGAAGGTTTGAAAATAAAACTTCGCCGGGAAGAAGGCCGGCACTGGTCATAATATTAACATCCTTAGGGCAAACCCTAACTTGGATGTTGTCAGGAAGTCCAAGTCTCATACGAAGAACATCTAGATCTACAACCATGGTGGAAGTGATTGAAGGATCTAAAAGGGTAAAAAGAAGCCTGCCGAAAGTAAAAAAGAACAAAACTAACCTCTGAGGTAGAAAGCAACAAAGAGCACTGCAAGACCGCTGGAAGAATGACTCTTGAAGGATTTCACCGGAAGAAATTTAGCACTGTTCTAAAAAGATGAACGAGAGATTTGACTGATGATGAAGACGGTAAAAAGGCATGAAGTGGTATTCTAGAGCCTTATAAAGGCGAGGGGGACCCGAGGGCCAAAGCGTCAGGAAGGCGAGAAATTCATCGAGCCCCGGAACATTGATTCTGGATCTGACCGTCCGTTCCCCCATGTGGGTTTCTCGAGCCGTCAACGTCATGATGAGACGCCTTCAATAATTACCCCCTTATTAAACAAGGGGTAATTATGGGGGCAGTTGAGGAGGCCCGAAGTGACATGGGTCGGATATGACTTACAAACGCGACATCCGGTCCGTACAGATGGGTCAGGCCCATAGAAAGACACTGCCATATGGGCCAAACACGAATAGCCCATCAAAGATGACCAGAACTCATAGAGGAATGGGCCTAGATCCAGTAGCCCATCAACATTTGTAAATATCTATAAATAGGAGAAGTAATGGATAGAGGAGGGGAGATATTTTTTTTGGTTGAAATGTAAGAATTCTAGAGAGAGAAAGGGAGGAGGAATTTCTTGCATCTTCAATATATATATATATATATATATATATATATATATATATATATATATATATTTAACATACTAAATTCCTTGTAACAAGAAATTGAACATGTTGATGTGTGAAGTTCAATTTTTCAAAACATGATTTTTTTTTTTTTTTTTTTGGTTAAATTTTCAAAACATGATTTGGTTGGCCCACCTCGGCAATATTCCTTGGCATGTGATGCATAAGGTGCGCTATGAGCAAGAGAGCACTATTAAGCCTTCAATTTATATTTCATAATTTAGTAGAGTACTTCATGTAGTGTTGTACCACATGCACTTTACAATTTAATTTCTACATTTTATATACACATTATTTAAATATATTAATGGAGAAAAAACCGTCTTTTTCCCATCTCTCTCGAGTTCGGCCTCTTTATCATTACTATATAATAAAATTCACTGAGTCCACAGCACATGCATTTGCAAATAAAGTCAGATTCAAATTATAAGTCGGAACTTTGAATTACAATTATAATATAAATATTATAGTGAAGTTGAACCATATAAATTATAACATTCATGAATTAGAAAGCAAAAGGGCAAAGGACCCTTTTTTATTAATTTCTCCCTTAACATCCACTAAGTGCAGAAATCAATCACAAAGAAACCCACACTAGGTCTAAGGGCACTTTGGCTGGCCCTTAGAGTTCTTCATGTCCCTATAGCAAGGGCACTCATCCTTGTTTCCATAAGTCCCAGAGGGTACACAGTTGCACTTCTCGCAGCAGATCCCACAGTACTTCAAGCACCGGTCCTGCCGTCCTGCTTTCGAGCACCTCACCGCACACTTGGAGTCGCAGAAGCTTGACCCTTCCATTGCAGTCTCAGCGAAAGATGAGCTCGCGACAAGAGCTATGAGCAGGAATGTTGCCAAGACTAGCTTCATCTTTCTCACTTCTCTCTGTGAGCCTACATACATGTGTGTGTATATATATATATATATATATTAGTGTAAGAGAACAGAATAGTTCAAAGATCAAGGAGGCTATACATGCATGGATGAAATGTGACTTTTGAAACATTACATAAAGAGTTTGTATTAGGCATATTCATTTATCATGTGACAATATTAAGGTTCTCTGTGTAGACAGGTAGTGGTAATGTTTCATACACTTTTTTTTACTTTTATTTTTTATTTTATCGGGAAGAAATACACTCACACACACTTTTTACTCACACACACTTTTTATCTACACCATAACTCCAACCCCATCTCCTCTTCTTCGTGGATGGACCAGAGGTCATACAGCTGCTTTAAGGTTCAAATATTTTTTTGGCATTTGGTTGATTAAATAAATATATATATATATATATATATATAATTTTATTTTTTTTCATAATTTATATATATATATAATAACAATACTATCCCAATTTCTTGGCTTAGTACTTAATATTACACATTGGGAATATGGAGTTACAAAAAAAATTATTACTAGAGGGGCACACATAGCATGCCTATATTGGGCTTAACGCCTTAACCCAGAACATGCTGGTGATTTATCTACCAAAAAGCGAAAAAGAAAAAAAAAGGAAGAAAGAAAATGTAATCTAGCTAGTGTTTGATCATATAAATACATACCCAAAAAATTCGTGTATATATATATATATTAAGAATTATTTTGTGTTTGAATAACATTCATATATATGTACAGAGAGAAGCACACACATACACATATATATAGGAATTAATGTGTCTTAATTAGATCATCCCTGTAATTATCCAAAGTCTATCAAAAGGATAGAAAAGATATATATATATAAATAAATACCTGGAACTTTTAACAACTCTAGTTTTGAAATCAACTAAATATTCTTGAACCAAAAACCACAATGCATCTACAAACATACCCAAGAATTCTATATATATATATATAGAAGTGTTGATTAATGGGAGTTACGTACAAGGAACTAAAGTGTGTGTGAAAGCTAAGGTAAAATTTGTGTGGGTGTGAGAGAGGACGTACGTAACTTGTTTATATAGACTTGAATGCAAAGCAATTGATTGCTTTTAAGTTCTACATTTTGCATGTTTTGCGTATCCGCCAGCCTTTTTTTTTTTTTTTTTTTTTGTTGTAACAACTGCAGATCTTTGTTGATATATTTATGCCAGCCTGTTTCTCTATGTCGTACCCCCAACACACACTCATGTTTTTTTTCTACTTAAAAGCTCCTCATTTCTCTGTTATTAATGCAAATTGAGAATTTTCGTGATTGGGGCACCACGTATAAGTAAGACATATATATATATATTTATATATATCAAAAGTTTATTTTTCTTTTTTTATTTTTTATTAAATAGTTTTTCATTAAATGTTGAGTTAAAGTTTAATGGAATCTAATTTGATGAACCAAATTAACTATGAGAGATGTTAAAGAATAAATTAATGATGAGAGATGTTAAGATTTAAAAACTCTTCATTTTCATTTTCATTTTTTATATGTATTTTTTAATTTTTTTTTTCATTTTCAATATCTATTATATCTTTATATTTATTTATATTATTATAAAACTTTACCTTTTTTTCTATATCTAAACATTTTTTTATAAAAAAATTAATACAAAATTTTCTCTCTCTTTAAGTGTGTCATTATTATATTTAAGCAAACAAAACAAATTAAGATACAGCAATTATATTATACCAATAGTAATGAGTTAAAAAAAAACATATAAATTTGAATTGTGAATTCATATCTTCCTTTCATTTGCGGTAATTTAATATACAAATTAATCAAGGGGTTGATTTAAGTGGATAAGTTATTTAATTCTAATGCCTCAGAAAATTAGTATCAGGCTTAAAATTCGAAAGAGAGGGTGTATCCGTACTAGTTAAAAAAAAAAAGAAAACTAGGATATGAATACTTTTCTACTTTTGCATTTCATACTCTTCCTTCTCGAAACTTATACTAATTATCCAAGTGTTATTTCGCATAACACAATTTCTGTATTTGTTGTTTGTCGTATAACTATGAGATATGTTAAAGAATAAATTAATGATGAGAGACGTTAAGATTTAGCAACTCTTCATTTTCATTTTTTATATGCATTTTTTAATTATTTTTTTTTCCATTTTCAATATCTATTATATCGTTATATTTATTTATATTATTAGAAAATATATAAATTTTTGTTTTTTTAAATACAAAATTTTCTTTATCTCTTTAAGTGTGTCATTATTATATCAGGTGAATTGCAAAAAACCTCACTTGGCTATTAGCCAGTTGCAAAAAAAAACCCTTTATGAATATTTTTGGCAAAAAATCCCCCTCAACTATTTCAAGAGGGTGTTTTTAACGGATGTATATTTAAGTGATTGTCTGAAGAAAAGTTTCACACAAAATTACTCCTTAACAGATTATTGTTCAGACAATTTATTTATTTATTTCTATCTCTCAGTTAAACAAAAAATTGGAAAGCCAATAAAATCATATTTAAACTAGGTATAATTAAAAAAATAAGATTGAGTACATCCACACAAGAGAGGGAAAATCCATGGCCTTAGAATAGAAGATGGAAAAAACAGCTCAAGAACTCCTTCATTGCACTTGATCTTTAACCGCCATTATAACAGTTAATTATTTCAAGGAAAAATAATTAATAACTTACCATGTTTCCTTGTCGAATTTCTTTTCCTTAATTGAATTATGCTGCTGCAAGGTAAGTGGACTAAAGCAGGTAACTAAAAAACAACATAAAATCTTTTTCAAATCTGGTTTTTATTTTTATTTTTAATTTTTTTAATTTCTTCAAGAGCACGAAATACCCCAAAGTAACTTTTTGAGACAAAATTGTTAAAGAATAATCTGTTAAGGGGTAATTTCGACCGAAAAATTCCCTCCGACAATCACTTAAATGGACATCAGTTAAAAACACCAATTTGGGATAGTTGAGGGAGTTTTTTTGTCAAAAATATTCATAAGGAGGATTTTTCGCAACTAGTTAACAGTCGAGGTTTTTTTTTGCAATTCGCCCAATTATATTTAAGCAAACAAAACAAATTAAAATACACTTATATATTATAGCATGCCAATAGGTTGGTTTAAGTGGGTAAGTGTAACGGGTGGCGCTTACTCATTTATTCAAGAGGTCAAACTGTTGAGTAGTGCTGCATACCCATCCATTTATACACACTTCAACCCCATCCAAATCCGATGCGGGACAAGTCCTACTTAATTGTAACATTTTTCCCCACTCGAACCCGCACAACACCCTGATTTGTGTGGAGCACAAAAGTTTTCCACCGGAACAGTCAGCACGGATGATCTTTCACCATAAAAATATCAGAGTCTATGTCCCAAGCGGCAGAAATAATCAACTCTCGCAAGTGAAGTTGAATCACATTTTGGGTCAAATCCCTAATTAGAAACCGGGTTGTCTTAGATTATACATATTAAAAAAGTAATACTATTACTAATAATAAATAAATAAAATAATAAATTAAAAATGATTAAAAAATCCTAGGAGATTCGGATCCGAATACACAACATGAATGAATCAAATAATCTAAAAATAGCACATAAAGCAAATAATAGACAGTATAGATTCTCATAAGTAAATAATTTAAAGTTGAACATAAATAAAAAATAAAAAATAAAAACAAATAATCTCAAGAATATATATGATTCATAAAGTTTTATAAAAAATATTAAAACAAAATACTTACCATATTATAGTATTAAAAATTGATACCTTACCCAAAACCAGCGCAAAAGAAAAAAATAATAATCTCAAGAATATGTATGATTCAAAAAGTTTTATAAAAAAATATTAAACAATAATAACAAAATACATACCGTATTACAGTTTTCACTTGCTGGGTGGCTGTCACCAGATTGTAGCCTGCATAAACCCAATTCGGTTTTAGAAGCGACTCTTCCAACAAAACCCAGTTACCAAGTTTCAGCGTGTGAAGTTGAAATATGGAGGCAAAATAGTTCTTATTAGTTAGTTCATAGATAGCATTATCATGAAAGTAGATAGTGTCACCACTAAATTGGTTGGCTCTCAGATCTCCAGTCAAATGGCATCCATCCGTTCGGAATTGTTATATGTAACGCCATTTAATGTTTTAGAAAGCAAATTGAACACAATGTACCATCCTTAAGCTTTATGAAAGGGTGTCATAAGATGGTAAATGACTAAACTACCCCTATAAGATAATATAAAGCACTTAGCACAGTAGGAATAGTGAACAAACATCTTAGCAGCCTTGAAACACATGGATTTGACCTTAAAAGAGCAAATACAATGGGTTTCAAGGACCAACAGGTTCACTTGATCAGTTTTTGTAAATTGCTGAGTTTTGCGCATGTTGGTTCACTTGATCAGTTTTGGTAAATTAATTGCTCCCATGATGTGTAACAAATAACCAAAACAAAAACAAATTCAAAAACAAATATTGCGTAATTCAAAAACTCTACTAAAACTAAGTTTCCAAAACATTACTAAAACCATTGCATTAAAACTAAGTTTCCAAATTGCATTTCCATTATAGTTTAATAACCAAAACAAAATAGAACTCCTTCAAATAACTCACAACAAAACAAAGTGGAACTCTTTTTTCAACAGCACCCATCACAATTTTCACTTAAGAACAATGGAAACAATTAAAACTACTACAAACAACCCAAACAAGACCAGGTTTGCAATAAAAAAATGCCCACAAATGCAGTCAACTCTCCATCGAGGAATACTCTGCCATTTCCAAAACTTACGGAGAAATGGCAAGAGCAACAAGAATTCCTGATGGAGCTACATGACCAATCCGACATGTTCGAACATCATCTTCGTCTTTTCGAACCCACCATATAGATAAATAATTCTTAAAAGGACCCCTTCGAATAATGAAAGATGATTCACCCGTGGAACTCATTGTCTATATAAAAAAAATAGTACAACACATCAGTATATATATGTGTGTGTGTATATACAGAGACAAACGCACACACACCTCATGGCAAAATTAAATGATGTACACAAATATTGGCAAATACAAAGATGCGTTACACAGTGACATTAAATGATTGGGAAGCACCACAAATCGACGAGGAAGAAGGACAATGAGTGAATTAGGGTAACAGATCACAGATCGATGAGGAAGATAGATGTTTGGGCATGTTTTGAAACTAATTGGCACTACAACAAAAGAGGCTTTTAGCTACGCAAAATTTTAAAGAAAAAGGTCATTTGTGACAAAAGTATTTCGTGTCATGTCATAAATAACCATTTATTTACTACGAAATATTTTCCGTGAATGAAGTCGAGAATTAAAGTTGAGAAATATTTCCCCTCACTAACTCTTAACATTTCTCCCCACTTAAACATTGAGTAGAGTTAATGATCCAAGATTAAAAGACAGTAATCAAATAAAGAGTAAGTACTTCAAAAAAATGGAACATAAAACAATCCTTCATAAGATATTAAGACAATACATATATACTTTAAAGATTAGTCAAAAAAGATATTAAACTAATTATCAGAGAATCAAAGCCAATCAGGAGTATGCAAATTGGGTCCAACCTCTTTGAAGGGCACCATAGGTCTTCTACAGTTGATAAGGGATATATGGTCATTTAAATAAATATTGTGTCTAACATGCAAGGTATGGGTAAAAAATTGATCGGTCCGTCATTAGATTAGATTAAGTAAAGTGCAATCAAACAACATAGTTGAGGCGCACTTTACCTTACAATATATATCTAACTTGTCAAATTACACTAGGCATTCCAAAGATCCTAACATAAAAAAGCAAACCACCATAATTTCACGACTTAAAGGGCAGAAGCCCAAATCTATAAAATCTGTCAAAATACCTAAAATGATACACTAGTCATGTAGTGTTAC